AAAAAAAAAAAAAAAGGTATGTACTGTTGAAAAATAAGAGTAAAAAAAAGCTAAAAAAATCGATAGAGTTTGTGAGTATTAATTAATTGATCTATAAAATAAAATTCGTTGGTATTCGCGTGGATACATATATCGAAAACATCATTTTTTTGGTGGAATATTGTCCTATTTTGCAATTATTAACTTATACTTCTGATTTAAAACATCATGTTTTTGTGGACTATTGGCCTATTTGGCAATTATTAAGATAGACTTTGATTTGAAATTCAGGAAAAAAAATGAGAAACTTTCAAATTGAATGGCAAAACTAAAACTAGCTAGGGACACCTAGAAAGTGATTTTCTGCTTGACAAATGATCAAAGTTCAATTAAATCATTATTTTAAAGGTCCAACAAAGCATGAAAACAAGTTAATTAAATTGTTTTGGCAATGATCATTAATTCTATAACATCAACAAAGAAGACATATGTAATGCCAAAATGAATTCTATAACACTGAGAAAGAAAAAATATGTAATAGAATTGTCCATACAAGTAGGGTCGTAAAATAACTGAATTTTTTCCATTCAATTTTGTATTCGAATTCACTTTTCATGATTCCTCTTGGATATTCAAATTCGTATTCTAATAGGGAATTGTATTTTGTATTCAAAATTTACACGAATTTGAATCTGGTTCTGGAAACACTTAAATTGACACATTTAAACACCAAACTTCAACAGAAGTCCAATTTCGCATAAGCCCTCTTTCAGCTTAAAAACCCTCATCATCGTCCCGTCGTGCCCGTTTGATAACTCAGTTAAATCAGGGCTTTTTAGGCCTAGATCGTTTAACCCGAAGCCCGCTAGAACTTCCCGTTTAACATCTCTACACTCATACTCTCTCAACAAAACTTAGAGTATGGTTGTCTAACGGTTAGACAATCTAAAAGCAACATTTATAAACAACATTTTTATAACTTACATATAAACAACATTTACGACAACATATCATACTTTTGTAACAAAAATGCATATATTTAAACTATAAAATATTATTCATACTTTCGTTTACGGTGTATTTTGACGACAGACATTTTTCTACGAGTGCAATGCATATATATATGTTGCAAAAGTCTGACCGTTAGAACGGTTAGATTCGTCTAACAAATGCCTTATGACAAGTTTTTATCTAATGCAAGAAAAGAAGTCTTGATTAATGCCGTTTAGGATGTCTTGCGGCCTACAGGTTCATGTCATTTCTTGCTTTAAATAGTTTGCTAACTTCTGAAGGTGATTTAAAGACAGCTCTAAACAGAAATTAACTGTCCTGAAGAAAAGTTGAAAATTTGGGAGGAAATGCTGAAAATCATCAAGAAAATTATAGAACCTGGAATTGGCAGTTAACTGCAAGATTAGAACATGTTTATTTGAGTTTTAGTTTATCGGGCAAAGGCGTACCTTGAGTCGTACGTCTTCTTGCAATGAAGATTTTCAGTATCTGAGAACACAAAACAGTGGATAAAATCGAAACACAAAAAGAGAACAAGGATCAGTTTCTTATTACCATAAATTCTTCTTGTAAACCCAGATTATTCCGTTCGTCCGCCTACTTTACCGATCGACTAGGCCTAAGCCAGTCTAACTTAAGAAAAACTAAAACGAGCAAAAAAAAAAAAAAAATTTTTGTTAGCTACCTACATACAGAGAATGACCTCAGCCACCATGTCATCCATCAACAGCTTCTCGATTTCATTACCCACCATCTCTACTTCTCCCCTGGGCCCGGCCCAGCCCATCTCCCGATCCACAGTCTCGAATTCCGTCAACTCCAACTGGTCGATCAATTTCTCTGCAGCGTCCCTAACCCCGTGGGCCCACCACTTCAATAAATTCGAACCCGTCGATTTTGGCATTACCCAGGGGCACAGGTCAACATGCGCCACAAAAATCTGCATTAGTGCAGAATTTATCCTGTCGAAAAGTAATTTCCTTTCCCATTTTGTCCCCATTGCCCCTTCATCATCACTGTATTTTTTCTCGAGACTGTCGAACAGTTTTGGGTCAAGAGGATGATAGTCTTCTTCTTGGGAGTACCATGATGTGTTGTTAAACATGCTAAAGTAGTCGGGCTCTTGAAGGAGCCCGGAGGTGACGAGCACGTCGAGAGCGTAATGAATTTCCCATCCTTCGGGACCTATTGTGTGATTTCCTTCCGGCAAAACGAGCGAAGTTTGCGCGCCATCTTCTTCCTCCTCGATTGGGAAAAGTGTGGACATGTCAGCATCGGTGCTCGATTCCATCTTGAGGAGCTGCAGTTGAAGTCGGAGTTCTACAGAAAAGGAAAAAAAATAAAAGTAGAAATAAATAAATGGTCATTCACAAATGCAGAAATACTACACTTCAGGTGTGAATCTAATATTAAGTTGAACTTTAGGTGTGTGCATTCTTGATTAAATTTGGTGCTCCATATTTTTATGATTCTCTCAAGAGAAAACCATGTGTATATGAGAATATGATTTCATACATAACCATAACTTATGTTAAAGTATCTCCTTAAGAGTAGGTAACAGTTCCGTACCTTGAAGTTCAGCACTGACTCTCTCAAAATTATCGGCAGATGATGCATCCTCTGTGAAAGGGACCTCGAGAACTGAATTCGGGCTTGGATGATTGCCCTCCTTGGAGCTTTCTGAAGGCTCCGGCTCAGCTCCAGGGCAATGTGCGGAAGAAGACGCTTGTTTTGTTGGTACCTTGTTCAGTTCCTTAAACGCAAAAAAACAAATAAGTACGTACTTATTATATTTTAAAGCATTCGGTGCTTAATTGGAATGTTCATGTCTAATAGGAACAAGCAGCCTAACCGAGGTACGGCCATTCATCGTCGTTATCATAAATTCATAACAAAATTGATGTACTGTTTATGTTGTCGTATATGGTAGGATTACTCAGGCAACGAACCAACTTTGAGGGCGTAAATAACTGCAACCATATCGTTTTAAAGCTAGAAGTATTTGACATTTTCCAACTTTGTAGTAAACTGGTCCCACAGAGAACCACAATAAATCACAATTCTCCGTACCATATGCGACCAAAGGTTCATTTTTTGGTAGCAACTGGCGAAAGTTCTGTCGGGAAGTGTGATTGGAAAAATTTCTGGTAAATGTGTGTAATAGTAGAAAACACGTCAAAAATGCGTAAATGTAGTGTCCAGTTGGTAGTTGGGAAAAAAATAATTAATATTTTTCCCATGCAAAGAAACAGAAGAAGTTGCCAGATAAAACTGGTCATCTGGGTTTATAACAGCTAAAAAAAGTTAGGATGGAGCAAAATACCTAGCTTAAGGGAAAAAATTGATTCTTCCCCCTCACTACTACCAAATATATGGGCATTATCCTTTACCCGAGTTGAGACGAACAATCAAATGGATGGTGAACTCATAATACATGAACATCAAAGGAAGCAGCAGAACAAGAGACATAAATACAAAATAACAGCCACAATAATTATTAGAAAAGCGAAAAGAAGAACTCATACAACAAAGTATCATGTGCAAGCATAAAAATTTTTAGTTCAGAGAAAAGTAATGCACAAGGAAAATATCAAAGCAAAAAGGAGAATAACAAATAAAGAAACATAGCGACATAAAGAACTGTGAAGATTCATACCTGGGGCACGCAATCCCTCCGTTCTTGAACGGCGGATTCATCGTCGCCTGCAACTGAAGACAGCTGCTTCTGAACTAACTTAGAAGTTTTCGTAGACAAAGTTGTGCTTGCAGATTCAGAAATCATCATCACATCAACCACAGGACTCCTACAGGCTTCGGCCTTTGCAGACATCTCAAAAGCAGACTGCTGTTTGGATATGTCCTTAATATTCGCCTCCATTTGAATTTCGAAACTGGCCTCTGTTGAAGAGTATATCTCACCATTAAACATGCCCTGATCACATGGATGGGGCATCTTCCCTCTAACTTTCGAATACCTAGAAAGAGAATCCTCCTTATAACCTACATTCCTCTTCAAGAATTTACTCCTATCGCAATTTACATTTTCACCGTGCGTCACAACTTTCGCCACAGCCAAACCATCCTGATACAAGTTTGTCTTACGGCTTCTCCTCCCTCTGCTACTTGGAGGAAGAGATTTGGACCTTAACGAATTTCTGGTAAATTCCTCCCTACTACCAATGCCCGAAGGACTCGTCTTCACATTTACACGGCTGTGCCCTGTTCCCCTATCAGGCCGAGTAAGCACCTCGGCTAACGTGCCGCCCTTGCTATCACTATTAATCATATCCATGTCCCGACAGTTGTGAGTCATCTTCCACCTCTCGGAAAGCCTCTTTTTTGCCTCCCTATTCACAGACGACTCCACCCGGACAAAAGAAGGGTACCTGGAAGATTTTCGACAGGAAAAAACGAACCCCTCAGGCTCGCTCTCGGAGTCACTTTCATCACACTCGTACGAGCTCTCATCCCCAACATACCCTCTGCCCCAAACGGACTGCAAGTCATTACTCTCGTCATACCGATCCCTCATCTGCATTGTGATCTCTCTTGCTATCTCCCGAGCCTCCTTAGATATCGACCTGGATAGTCCCATGTCACTGGACAAGTCTTTCCTTCTATGGGACCTATTCATGAGATCGGTTGATGAACTAAATATGTTTTCCACTTTCCCAAGGTTTGGCTTCAAGACAATAATCCTTGTGGGGAGAGTCTTTTCTTCGTCCACCACCTCTGATCGGGCCCTCGACCCGCTCTGGTAAATGCAGGCCCGGCGGTGGCCATGCTGTTCGAGCAGAAGCCCATCCTCACGTCTCAAAGGAACGCGGGGCCCGCTTGCAGGCTTTGCTTTGCTTTCGTACGGCTTTAAAACTGCTATACGGTTGCCAGGAGAGTCGCGATGCCACAGGTGTTTCAGCACGTGGTCCATCTCATCTGAGGCTCGAAGCTTCTGCTGAACAAGGGCCAGCTCGGGCTTGGTGAGGATCGAGCCCGTTCTCCATTTCGAGGAACACCGGTGGTGACCGGCAGCCTCCAAATCTTCATACACGTCCTTGAATTCAGGCGGTCCAGGCGGACTTCCGGTCGTTCGGCTGTCATAACGTAGGCTTCTCGATTTCGGTTGGTAAATTTCGGAAAACCTTTTCTCCTTCCCGTGGACATGTTTAGGGGATGGAAGGCCATCGAAACCCATTAGCCGGGCAATGACACTTGGCGGGCGTCTCCTGGGCTCGACTTCTCGGGACATTTCTTCTGCTAGGAGCTTCTTCATTGGTGTTCCGTTGGGCCCTCGCCATGAGCTCTGTCCCAACTCGAGCATAAACTGTGACAAGAAAGTATTTTAAGAAAAAGAATAAATGAACGAACATTTTTCGATATGGTGAGAGTAAAAACAGAAGTAGGTAATATAACTAACCGAGTCATCCCTTTTGATTCCATCAATGTAAGTTCGAGAATCAGTGGACAATCTTGGAGCAGCTTTCTGAATATGTTGAATTCCTGGTTACAAAAAAGTTCAAACTAAAACAATCAATCTCTATACAAGGTATACACATAACTTCTCACAAACTTCCTAAAACTGTACTCGCCACACAATAACACAGAATCTGTAATCGTGAGGGAAAAAAACAACAATATAGCAGCTAAACATGAAATGAGGCATTTATGGGTATGAATTTTGGGGCAACTTCATTAAAGAAGGAGGACCAGCAATCATACAACCCAAAGAGGAACCAATTTATGGCAACACCACAATAGAAAAGTTTCTTTTTCATGCCACTTGCCAACAAGACTTGCTTTTGTAAAGCATGAGCTAATGCAAGCAAGAACTCAAGCTTTAAATTAAGGACTTCACGCTTTTGACCTTTCAAGTAATAATGCCCTCAACAACAATTTAATAGAACAAGGCAAGAATTAGTGGTCTCCTTGTTAGAAACAAACAAATTTCCAGTCATAGAAACTTGTTACAGAAACCATGTTTGCCGGTGGATAAAACAAAAGCAACTGAGGTAAGCCCTACCAAAAGATGGAAATTAGTTACCCAAAAACTATAGAATAATCTTAAATATAAATAACGAAAACTGAAAATGTTTAATTCAAGTGTAGTACATGCAGGTAAATGCTACGGCCCCGTTACGGAATCATTCCATTTGAGTTTGTAACCATTAAATCATCATGTAACCGACAAGGTAGTTGATCTAACGATTACAGAATGGAAACCTCTTGTTACTAGAGAAATTCAATTTCACTTTCCTCTTTTTTCTGGCTTCCATTTCTTTGTTCCCCCTTTTGAACAACAAAAACCGATCCTTTTTTCTTCATAAGAAACTATCAAAGAGGAAACTAACGAAAGGGAAACGGACAAAATTCAATCCGTATACATTAACATAAACAGCATATACCTTCAGAATTTGTTGCGCAAAGGATCAAAAGCAAGGAGATGAAACTTTTTTTTTGTTACCTTCAATGCCAGAAGCACTTTTAGATTTTCGGTGCCGGGCTCTCTCCATTTATCTTCTATCC